GGTTGCGGTCCGTCAGTGCGTTCCAGGTGCGGTGCGTCTGCAGCAGTGCAGCGATCGTTTTCGCACCGAGTCTATTTTTGCTGTGCTGCACGCGCTGAATTAAAGTGACAGCGCTTTGTTCGCGGTAAAAATGAACATGGATTGAGACTGAAATGTAGTAATTTCACAATAAATAGATATAATTAAAGTCTACTGTGTTTCACAAGCTTTTTGGCTAGGTTTAAAACAAATAAAAGTGCACTTTTAGATATACAAGGCAACATATGCACTTGTGTCTTGTGGAGGTAGAAAAACAAAGTTCTTTAAGACCCGCTGGACTGTTTGTAATAAAGATTTAAATGTAAAAGACACGAGAGCCGACTGTTTCTGTCAGTGGTAAGTTTTAATTTAAAATATTTGTGATAACCTAACACAAGAAAGCTATATGCTGTATTCAAATGTGTTTCCACTTGCTTGAGCAACTTAATATACACATCTAAAAGCCAAATGCATTTAATACGCTGTTTATATTAACTGAGTTTAAACGTGAATACATCTATGAAAGATTGTGTTAACTGTACTGTGTTAAAAGAGGATCACAATGCTGAAAAAAGCACTTTCAGTATAGGCTAACTACGTTTGGATTTGAAATCAAAATAATGGATAAATGTTGTCTTTGTGGTATACAGCCGCGGATCAGGAGCGAACTGCAAACGCGTCCTGTGTGGAAGCACAATGAGTCCGTGCTGCTTCTGCACCGCATACGTAACGCACACGCACTGCAGACGGAGTATGTGTGAAACAGGCATTACTGACAAAGCAAAATCTTTCATTTACTCACATCATATTGTTCCAAGCCCTTATGACTGCATTTCTTCCCTGAAACACAAAATGCAAAATTTGAAAGAAAGTTCTAGTTCTGTCTTTCCTTCACCCATGCAGTTACAGTTAATCAGGGCTAGGCATGGGCCGATTACCGGTTTCAAGGTATACCGCGATTTGAAAATGTCACGGTTTCAAAACTGCTAATATTTTCCGTTATACCGTTCCTGCGGTATGCTCTGTTTTTCATGACTCCTCAAAGACTGAAAGTGTAGGAATCCCTCAGGTTGAGTGCAGTGTAGAGAGTAACACGACCCTCCTCCTCCTGTTGGTGCGAGCGGTCAGTCACGTGTGTGTATGACGGCCGAACATAAGGAGCTTCCCCTGGAACTTACGCGATCTGCAACCGGCTGTTTTTTGTCTTATTGCAAGCAACTCGTCTCTGTTCTGGACTTTGCACAAACTGCGTTGCAATGCAATCGTTTTCCAAAATGTAATTTATGTGAAAATATGAAGTCTGTAAACGCCCGTTAACACAGGCCAGAGACGTTGAAGACGGACGCACAGAGAAAAATACTGAAGCAGGCAGATCACTCACTGTTCATGATGCACAAACTATTGGAAGAAAATCCTCAATATTGATTTGGGGGTTTAAATGAATGTGTTTCTGAGGGGAACTGACTGTCTTCAGAAAAGTTTACGTGGTATTTTCTTTTAATCTCGTCTCTGTATAGTTCATATTAAAGCAGTGCTGCTTTGTTTACAGCGGTAACCAAGGAAACACTGTATCTGCTGTTCCAGAAGCGCCTCCTGCTGTCAGAGAGTGAATCTGCATCTCATTCAGAGTATCTGCTGTTTGTTTCGTTCAGGCATGTAGTATAATTTCACAAAGCTAGTCAGAACATTGTTTTTGCTTCAAATTGGGTTATTATTAAATCAAATGATGTATATGAAATGATATAACTAAATGATATGAAATGATATAAATGATATGTATATGAATTATATAAATAAAATTAAATAACTAATTACAGATTTAGGTTAAATATGTCAGTCTTTATTTTTCTTCTTTTTAGGAAACAAATCAAAGAAAAGAAAAAAATTCTGCTGTTCCTAATATTCTGTATGTTGCTCAAAAACAAAATATATTGTGTTCAGCGGAAATTTTTTTATTTTTTTTTACACAGTCATTTAAAAATAATACATTTTATAGCTGTAATGACAATACCGTGAAACCGTGATATTTTTGCTTAAGGTTATCATACCGTCAAAATCTCATACCGGCCCATGCCTAATCAGGGCTGAAGTTTCCAAGTTCAAATAAGGATGTAAAAGCATCATACAAATGGTCCATATGACTCTGTGCCCAATACTTCAAGTCTGGTGAAGCCTTTGTCTGCGAAACAGACTAAAATGTAAGTCTGTATTTATTGAAAGACCGGTTTGGAACAACATGAGGGTGAATAAATAACTTGATTTGCCTATTTGAATGGACTATTCATTTAACATTTGGCTACTATTAAACGCAGAAAACGGTTAAAGTATCAAATGACACAATTATTGCATATTTTACATTTTATCCAGTCATTCCTTAAAGCTCCCACTCCAACACTGCAGTATTCCTCCTTAAGACTCTCGTTTTTTCTGTTCTCTTTTCAGGACTACTTATTTAATCACGTGTCTTTTTTTTCCTGATGTGTGTTTTCTGGAATCATGGGTAGTTTCATTACTCATGACTTTTCCTGTTTGTCTCGTGTAGGGCTTTTAGTGCACGACCATACTGACACCATATTAAGTTCATATACCTTTAAGTCGCACTACCTTCTGACTGAGTCAAATCGTGCTGAGTTGATGAAATTACCTATGATTCCTTCTTCTTCGTCAGCTACCAAAAAGAATATTGGGAAAGGTAAAATCATGTTTTCTTGGTTTATGTAGTTTGCCATCTGTATGCTTTCACAGCTGTCTTACTGCTACTTTTTGTTTATTTGTTTGTTTTTGGGGTCAGTTTATTGCTCGTAATTTTACACCCTCACGCTGCTTCTAATGCACATAGTGGGCTTGAAATAACACGCAGCAACAAATAGCTTAGATTTTAGTTCTTTAAATCTTTAAATCAGATAAGCATTTTAAATTAGTTTGGGAAATTGTGTAGAGAAATAAAATAGAAGTTGGCATAATATTCAAATCTGTGTGCCTGTATCCAATTCCTGGGAATTTTACTAGGTTATGATATGTCACGTAACTTGTTATTCTGAGTCCGTAACACGCTTTGGCTTAGCATTATTTGCTTGGATTGTTTCTAAATTACTTTGTCCCGTTTCTCTGTTTGCTTGAGCACAATTATACCCTACCACCCTCTAAACATAAACATATTTTGGATGGCAATTTTAATAGAGCCACTAGCACAGTCCTGGAAGTCAAAATCCCATTCATTTTGTCCATAGAGAATTGTTTAAAGATAACTTGTACAGCTCTGATGTATGGAAGCCCTTTTCTGTCATTGAATGTAATTCTGACTTATCTCAAAATTCGGACTTTTTCCCTTGCATTTCTGAGAAAAAAGGTCAATATTGCAAGATATAAACAGAAATCTGAGTTCCGAATTTATATTTCACAATTTTGACTTTTTTTCCCCCCTCCGAATTCTAAGTTTATATCTTGCAATTTTGACTTTTTTTCTCAGACTTCGGAGTTTCTCACCATTTTTTCATTTTTTTTTTTTCCACCATGGAATAAAAATTAAAAAGGTAATTGCAACCTTTTTATCTCACAATTTTGACTTTTTTGTCTTGCAGTTGAAAGTTTATCTCACAATTTGGACTTTTCTTCTCAGAATTGCAAGTCTATATATCTCAATTCTGAGTTTATACCGACTTTTTATATCTCTCAATTCTGAGTTTATACATTTGTGAGAAGTTGAAATTACCTTTTTTTTTTTTTTATTCTGTAGAAAAATGGTCTTCAATACGTTGATAAAGCGTTGATATGTTTGTTGAAGTTTCAGATTTCATTTTGACCTCCCAAAAAATATATATAGTTTTTGTACTTTTAAATTATTTAATTTTTATATTGTACCTTTTTATGTTTTATTTACGTAATTTGTAATGATTCTTGGAGTTAGTAGTTCATTGATGTGAATCATTTCAGAGCTTGTTGGATTGGTTCAGGACTAGAGTTCATCATTTAAGAATTTTTTTTAATCCTTCTGGAAAAAATGAATTGGGAAAAATGCTTTCGGAACCAAAGTGGCTGGAAAAGTGGGCACTCACTGCTGTGCTCCATATTTTATTGTCCATCAGTGCTGATTTGCCATATTTTTCTTGTCAGTCAAACAAAGCGTTTTAAGTGACACCATCCAAAATACTTGCTCTGTGTCTGCTAGTGTACTGCAGGTGATGTTAATGCGGACAATCAGTCAGTGTGCATCACTGCATGTTTCCCGTAGTGCCCCCCTCTGGTCATTCACTATTGGCTGCTTATTAAATCACCCGGCACAAAAAAGCACATTAACATAATGCTGAAAGGTGTTAGTCATCAAACCATGTCTTTGAGCATGTCAAACAGAACTTAAATTTGGCATTTAGAATCTAGACGTATATGTTGAAGCATTTCAGAGACGTATATCGATCTCAGAGGACACATCAACTGTCTGATTCTGACATGCTCATGGATGAGGTTTGTGGAATACCGCCTTATTGGGAATGGACAAGCATGTGGTGATACTGTGGGCCTGTGTATTCGATTGTGTGTTTATGTGCGTGTGTGTGCTTGTCAAAAAGGAGGAAGACTGTTGTGTTGTGAGGCCTGTCCCGCCTCGTTCCACCCCGAGTGCTTGAACATGGAGATGCCAGAGGGGACGTGGCTGTGTGGGGAATGCCGAGCGGGCAAGAAACCCCACTATAAGCAGATAGTCTGGGTCAAGCTGGGCAACTACAGGTACGTCTGTGGAACTGTTGAAAGTCTCTTAGTGTCCTAAGATATCTTTTGCTAAACTAAAGGTGTGTTCATGTCAAGACTAATGTGACTAAATGGCACAAAAATATTCAAAAAGCTTTTCTTTTTTCCCCCACAAATTCAAGCTATTTCTCACAATGTCTGATGCAGAATATAATATATAAAAATTAATCGTATTTAAAAAGTAATAATAGAAGTATTAATAATTCAAAATATATTATCTAAGCATGTTACAAATCATTGTAGTATATTTCTGACTTGAGTTCACAGAGGCGTTGTTTGATTTTTCAGTCTTTTGATACATTTATTTTTTTGACTGTTAAGCCTCGTACACACCGGGAAGATTATTGGGCATGCTTATTGCCGATGTTTTTCGATGCGTCTTTTGTGTTCATACCCAAGCGATTTTCGCTGGTGATGAGCCGAGTGAACGTGCAAATTCACTCCCTGACATTAGATGGCGCTTAATGAAAAACAGAAATACACAGCGTGTATAAATACACAGTGTGTATAAACACATCGAATCCTATTTGATCTGCAATTCCTCTCCATAACAACTCCCTCTTATTGAGATTTTTGTAGTCGCTGTCGCATTTGTCATAAAGCCCTTTGTGTTCAGACACCAATGAGACCAGCAGCTCTACATTCATCTTGCCTCGATGCATCTTCTTGGTCTAATTCCTCTTCGTCGTTAGGTATCAATGTGTGCTCTGCAAGACCGCTTTGTGCTTGAGCGCCACCAAGTCGTGTTGTACTATAACTTCAGCAGCTCCAGGCACCAATCTCATTGGTCGGACAGTTTTTAACGCGGCGTGTCAAACCAAAAATACGCCTTGCGTTTTGCGCGTCGGTGTGCACACTCACATTGGCGCCCTTTGTTTAGTCACGAGGCGTTAAACGTCGGCGATAATTGCGCACGATATTCGTCTCGGTGTGAACAAGCCTTTAGACTGTTTAATGATGCTCAAAGGTCGCGTAAATGCATTTACACAGCAATTTTAACTTTATACCATTAAATGTATACTGCAAAGGTTTCACAAAAGCTCATCTGAAGTGGCATTTAAGTGTCTTTACACAGACAGTTTAATGCTGCTCAGAGGTGGCATGAATGCATTTACACAAATTACTGCTGTATAATTTGATACTTGGGTCTGAGCAGGCATAATTTATTCAGGCTTTTATGCAGCATCACATCTTTACGCTAAATTTGAGCAGGCACAGCGCTGTGTAAATAGCCTTAAATCCAAAAAAATTGCTTTTTGAGAACCATATCCTTTGTTGTGTTAATGTATTTCCTTATTTGAACCGGATGGAATGGGTCATCCCTTCTTTTAAAATAACCTTGTGTGTATGTGTCATAGCTGTGATGTTGCTATTGATTTTTACTATTGCTAGTAAGTAGCAAATAGTACAAGCAGAGGAACATTGTAGTTTTATAAAGCTTTTGATTACACAAATATTTGGACACCCCCCTGCATCATCAGTATTTTTGGTTTGTTTTCTTAAAAGATGAAGGTTAAATTTTAACTGACCAATGAATAAGCGATAAACCTAATGTAGATGTTGAACCATGTGTAGGTGGTGGCCAGCTGAGATATGCAACCCTCGCCTGGTTCCCTCCAACATCCAGACCTTGAAGCATGACATTGGCGACTTCCCAGTCTTTTTCTTTGGCTCCCATGACTATTACTGGATAAACCAGGGCAGAGTTTTCCCGTATGTTGAGAGCGATAAGAACTTTGCAGAGGGACAAGTTGGCATCAATAAGACGTTTAAAAAAGGTAAGATACCATACCAATTCAGTGGAGTTTCATTTGTTTTGTTATATTAAATGGTCACTGTAAGTATCACGTCCCCAATAAATGTTAAGCTAAATTGACTTCTAAATGTATTTTTGTGCATGTAAAGCACTTGAGGAGGCAGCAAAAAGGTTTCAGGAGTTAAAAGCACAGCGAGAAACTAAGGAGGCCCTCGAACAGGAGCGAAACTCTCGCAGACCCCCACCATACAAATTTATCAAGGTACAGAATGTAGCTCAAATCCTTTATTCAAAACTTTTATTTCTCTGCTGTTGCGTGCTACCATAATATGGCCCATTCCTTTCATGTTAATCTCTCTACAATGCAACTTTGCAAAGAAAACTAAAATCATATTGAAACAAACTAAAACTCTATATTTTTGTCCATGTTTCTCACCTCAGTCCAATAAGCCAGTTGGGAAGGTGCAGGTGCACGTCGCTGACCTCTCAGAGATCCCCCGCTGCAACTGCAAACCCACAGATGAGCGTCCGTGCAGCCAGGACTCTCAGTGCCTGAACCGCATGCTGCAGTATGAATGCCACCCGCAGGTCTGTCCCGCAGGTGACCGCTGCCACAACCAGTGCTTCTCCAAACGCCTCTACCCCGACACTGAGGTCATTAAGACCACCGGCCGAGGATGGGGCCTAAAGACCAAGCAGGACCTCAAAAAGGTGAGAGTTGGACGTCTGAGCATGAAGTCTAATAGCACTAATGGCCTGGAGCTGTAATTGAGAAAAGTTCAGAAAGACTTGTTATAAATTTCTGTGGTGACTATAAATATTTATAGTTTTGCTCCAGGGTTACTATCATTAACTAAAACTATTGAAAACATTTTTGATAACTGAAATAAAGCTGAATGAACTAAATAGTTCACTAAAAATTAACTATTAGATAAATGAAAATGAGAAATATTGGCTTGACAACTAACTTAAGTTGAAACACTAAAATTACTAACTGGAAAGATACAGAAACTAAAAAAAATTAACATAAATAGTCAAATAAAAAAAATAAAAAGATAATGACAAAACCATGTAACAAAATCCAGAACCAAAATCAAAATTAATTTGGTTTTTTTTAGTGCCTATTTTTTTTTTTTAACTAGCTTTAAGACTCCTTCACACAGATCAAATCTGAAATAATATTGTTGAATGACTGCATCTATTTTTTTTTTTTATTATTAATTGTATGTAGGCATTCAATCGGGTACTCTGACATTTTTTGGAATGTCAAAAATAATCAGTTAAGAACATTTGGATGAAAAACTGCTTAGTTTAGACCTTTATTCATTATATTGCATAAAATGTTTCTTTTTACTGATCTTGGGACGTTGGTTGTGTTTAGGGTGATTTTGTCATGGAGTATGTTGGCGAACTGATCGACTCCGAGGAGTGCAAGCAACGAATAAGACATGCCAATGAGAACCATGTGACCAACTTTTACATGCTGACCCTCACAAAGGTATCACTGTTGCATGTTTACTTTGTGTATGTAACATTATAACATCATCTCAGCTGTATTAAAGTCACTCCTTCTGTGCTTCTCAGGACCGTGTGATTGATGCTGGACCCAAAGGGAACTTGTCACGCTTTATGAACCACAGCTGCAGTCCCAACTGTGAGACTCAGAAGTGGACCATAAATGGAGATGTTCGGATAGGGCTCTTTACCTTGTGTGATATCGCTGCTGGTAAGAACAGTTAGCATTTTCTTTGAAAAAAGGACACTGTTTGTTTAGAAGCTAATTGAGATAATCATACTTTTTTTTTTTTAGACACGGAGCTGACCTTTAATTACAACCTGGACTGTCTGGGTAATGGGAGGACATCATGCCACTGTGGGTCCGAGAACTGCAGTGGTTTTCTTGGAGTCAAGCCCAAGGTAAAGCCTAATTGAATTAGACAGAAGCACATGAAGTGCTTAACCATTTTCTGTTGAACCATTGACGATTCTCTAGAGTGTCCTATAGCTGAGTGTACTTAATGTTTTATTTAACACTAGGTTTTTGTCTTTCTCTTTGTAACTTGTAGTTTTATTTCTTTATCTATCATCATCGTATCAATCTCTTGTCTGACACCTTGTTTTACTTCCTGCAGAGTGCAGTGGTTATGGAGAGAGAAGAGAAAGTACGCAATGCTAAGCTCAAGCCCAAGAAGCGCAAGCTGAAGACTGAGAGCAAACAGACCCACGAGTATTACTGCTACAGCTGTGGAGAGGGAGGAGAGCTGGTCATGTGTGACAAAAAGGATTGTCCGAAGGCCTACCATCTCCTCTGCCTCAACCTGACCAAACCTCCATACGGTACATGCTGTCTGTCACTCCAGCTCTTCCTGTCAGCTGTGGTAATTTCGTAGAAATGCTGCCACATGTTGCCTCTTGCTTGATGGACTTTAGATTTCCATAGCATTAATGTTTTAATATTAATCTTAATTAAAATGCTAAAACTGAAGATGTACAACATTTAAACTTTAAAGCCTAAAAGGTTGAGAACCATAAAGGAAAATAAAGAATGGTCCATCTATTGGTGGGTCAATGAAATTACACGATTAAAATTTTTTTTAGTACATAGCAATTGTATCTAATAATTCATGGATAAAATTGCTTGAACACACCCCTTCAATGATGAGAATGATTTAATTGTTTATATATATAAAGCATATTTAAGGGGGGATAAATGATAAAAGTCTAGAAGTTTAAAGGGTGATACAGCTGTCCTGATATCACAACGAAGAAGAAAAAAATAATGAATTATTGAAACGAGTAGTTTGGCGTAAAACAGGTAGGTAAAACAGCAGTTTTGTTAAAAATATTGTAGCTGTTTTTAAATAATATTTAGAATAGTTTATTTTTGATTTATAAAATTTATTTATTCAGTGTTTCTGCATTTTGACAAAACCATGTCATGTGGTGCAACCAACATAAAGAAAAAAACATGAAATGATGCAGATCCTCAATTCTGTGTCAAAGTTTCTTAAAATATCAGATCATTTGACCATTTTATGACAAAACTAGGTTAGTTCAGGTTGTAAAATGTCATGTGGTGCAACTCCCCAAAAATTATGAATTAATAATTTGTGTAAATACATTACAGCTAGAAAAATGTTTATAAGCTTTTTTTTATTTTTTAGAATATGTACAATTGCAAGTATTCAAGGTGTGAAGAAATTGAGGAAATGTCCTTTTACGTGATGGTTATGCCACATGACATTTTTAGTCATTAAATTAAAAAAATTTTTTTAGAAGGGTATAAAGTTTATGAGAGGGAAAAAAAACAAAGAGCCCATTTCTGAGAATTTGGTGTGTAGATTTTTTTTTATAATTTTTTCTTGATACGCTGTTGACCCAGTTACCTTACATCCTTTAATATGTTAATCCAACTGACAGTATGAGATGTTGCAGATCTTAATCTATTAATTAGAAAGAAATTGCCAATATGAGGGCAGCAGAAGTTCTCTCTTGAGCCACTTAGATGTTGTATGATTGATTTGTATTTTCTGTGTGTCAGGGCGATGGGAATGCCCCTGGCATCAGTGCAGTGTGTGCCAGCGCACCGCCGCCTCCTTATGCCACTTCTGCCCCTCCTCCTTCTGCCGAGAGCACGAGAGAGGACAGCTGCTAGTGTCTGCCCTGGATAATCGGCCCTGCTGCTCAAACCACGACCCCCAGAGACCCTTAGGGCCTCAGGCTAGCCCTAGCCAGGTCACTGGAAAGAAGGAACCGCTCGAAGCCGGAGAGGAGGGGGAGGGCAATGAGGAGGAAGACGATGATGACGAGGGGGGAGAGGGAGAGTGATTGGGCCAAAGCACAGAGGAAGCATTGAAAACCACATCAAAGTACATGAAAGTTCAAACTACACGAACCGTAGAGTAAATACATGCAGTTAGCTGGTCCACTTTTCAATTAAACCAAGTGGACTTGATAAACTGGTTTGATTCATTCCAAATCTACAGCATCTGGTATGAATTTTTTGAACATATCACAATTTACGGCCTCGTGTCAAATTCATACGGGCTTATATAACAATGTAAGCTACTCATTCTGGATTTATAAGCAAAATTTCACAGCTAATTCTCACTGTTTTTCAGATGTGCTCAATTTCGGCAAAAAAACTAACTTCTCTGTTAAAACGACGCCTTTCAGTGGCAAAGTCAGTTTCCACATCTATGGTACTTAAAAACACTCTATAAACATTTTAAACCAAGAACTTTATTTCTGTACCTCATGTAAATAGCAAAGACTGTTGTAATGTGTGTCGGGCGCAACCATTCACCCCTCGCCGGTAGGATTTCACTACATTTCTAAATATGAACCTGTCGTGCTAACATCTAAAAAAAAAAAAAAAAAAAAATTTTTGTCTTGCAATGTAGTGTTATTTGTGGATATCTGTACTGGATTCTTGCATCCGATGGCAAATTTAAGGAATTCTGATGATTTGACTGCCAAACTGAGATTTGTATGTTTATGAAAATACTGTATGCTCTTACTTGCATCTGCGTCTTTGAAACATGGAAGGCATTTTGGGTCTCTATTGTGTGGAAGCCTGTTTCTGCCATGGAATCAAAAAAAAATTGTGACTTATCTCACTTTTCGGGCAGAATTGCGAGATATAAACTTGGAAAGCTTCTGACTTTTTTTTTTTCTTTTTTTTCCCCCTCAAATTAATTCAGAATTATGAAATGAAAGTCACAATTACCTTTTTTATTTTATTATTCTGTAGCAGAAAAGGGCTTCCATACTTTTGTGTTATGTTCTGATATGTGATATTTTTATAGTTTACATTTTATTTTTATATAGCTTACTTTTATTTTTTTTTTAGAGGTCATAGGCACTTTTGTTCCTGAAACACCAATATTTGCCCTTACGTTTATAATGAAAATTATCAAGAGAATGCAGTTGGCAGGATGCAAAGCACATGTTTTGCCTGGTCTGTTGGTACTATAATTTTTTACTTGTACTTTCACTTCTATTTTCTTTATTTGGCCTTCATTTACATGTTTAGTCAGATATAGGTGATCACTAGAAATTGCCAATTACTTTTTTCGGAACGGCTTATTTGAACCCTCATGGAAATTTCCTTTTCTGTTTATGCAGTGGTTCAGTCACTGATCTGACTGTAATTGATTTGTTGCTATATCGGTTTTGCCGCATCAAATGTTAAAAGTGTATTACCTCCATTGATTCCAGTGTTTGGTGTCAGTGCACCGTACGTTGTGTACATTTTTTGTGTATTTGAAGTTGTCTTTATCATTTTGTGCTATCCGAGCATGTTCTTTGTGTTGCTTAACTAAATTTACTAAAGGTGGTGTCCTACCAGCTTACACTTTGATTTCTGTGTACTGATTTCACATTCCTTTTAAATAGACTGTTTACTAATTCTTGCTACTGAGTTACAGAGTTTGTGTAAAGAGTAATGTGATATTGTAATATTTTTCACCATGCGCATTGAATCACATTACACACTCAACTGAATAAAACTTATCCTAAATGATATGGCTTGGGTAGAATGTATGTCCTCTCCTAGTTTTCTAATGATGTACTACTCATGGATAGACATTTCTTTGGCTATGTTATGTAGCCTATGTGATTGCATTGTGTAAGAGAATGATGCTTGATCAACTGTACATAGCTGAAAGCTAGGAAAAGAAAAAGTAAAAAAATAAAATAAAAAAAAAACCTCCATTGTCATTATATTGTAGTGTCATACGAATGCTTGTAATATTGCTTCTGAATGTTTGTGAACCTAGAAACATTTTGTACATTTCTTGTATTTTATTTGACCAACCTTTGAGATGTATTTCTTCAGAATTCATAATTTATTCTGAGAGTACTTTACGCAACATTCCACAGATTTAAAAGTTTTCAGACTTGCCTGGTTTGACTTCAATAAACTGTAATGAATGTTCAAGTGTTTCTTTGAATCCGCATCTGAATTGAGTTTGTCGTAAATCACGCTGTCGCACATTTTTGAATATGTTTAGCCTACTTTGAATAGGGTCCAGGTGGCTAAGGAAATTTGCATGTGCAAATGTGCACGTGACAGTCTCTGGAGGGCGTATGATTCATTATAATCTACGACTCAAATGTCCGAATCGATTCTTTTGAAACGTTCTTGATTCAGTGATGCATTCGAGTCATCGCGTTGTGTTCACAAAAGTAACGTTTAGCTAAATATTACTGCGGTTAATCACTCATTTTTGCATTAATTTACTTTTAAAAAAGTATCTCAAATAAAGCAATTGAAGAATTTATAGCAGCAGGTTTGCCTAAAATGTTTCATAAATATTTCAGTTTTTTTTCTTTTTAGTGGAGTTTAATATACTTTGAAAGTATATAGTAGCCTATAGTATTCGGGAAAAGTGAATAAAGTGAAAAGATTTTAAAAAGTTAATTATGACAATTTGAACGAATTTTCGGATTAATTTCAACGTGAAAATGTTTTTATAGTTTATATATGTTGTTTTAGTTTTTAAACTAAAGTCAAGAGGCATCCGTCATTCATAACCTCCCTTTAAATTCGCGTGATTCACAAAGCCTCTGCGAATCGGCTCGATCGAATCAGTAAAAAGAGCCGGTTCAAATGAAGGATTCCTTGGCGATTCGGACATCCCTGAAAGGACTGACGTGTTAATGTCAGTGTATGGACTTCCTCGCTGCTCAGTACGGCGCTCAGCTGCGGCTGGACATGTCCAATATATATGATAGACCTCACGAAATTCTGCTCCGGTGGCTGCTCTCGACAGCCGACAAGGCGGCGGTTTACACGGAAAAGGAAAGAATCCGAAGGTCGGTATTCAACTCCGAACTGCAGACAAAAGACGGAGGATGCGCGATGTCGTGTTTGCGGAAATGTTCGTAAGCGAATCTCTCAGATGTGGCGCGGAGGGTCGCGCGGCTGGTGGCAAGACATCCTACAGATTAACTATCAGTTTGTCTCCCGTGACACACTCTCTAGTGCTAAATATCGATCCTTTCTTCCGTGCTGGAAAAAAAACTGCTAAATCTAGCTGTATTTTAAAACGTGGTAGCTGACTTCTAGTTGGTTTAAGTTGTAGACCATCTTAGACCAGCAACAAACTGGCATCTTGTTAATGCTGGTTTAAACTGTAGGCCATCTACCAGCTGTTCATACTATCTTAAGGTGGTAAAACAGGTTGGCAATAGATTCTAGCTGGTCCAAGGTGGTCATTGGTTGGTGGCCAGCAACATAACAACTACTGGCTGGTTATACTTGGTGGTCAGGTTGGGTTTTTCGAACATGGTAACTTGCCAACCAGCTTGTAATGACCACTAGCTAGAACCCAGCTACCACTTAAACTAGCTTTTCTAACAGAGTTCTATGCTGGAAAAACTGTGGTAAATCTAGCTGTATTTTGGAACATGGTAGCTGGTTTGGTCGAAGCTGTAGACCAGGGTTCCTCAAATCTTGCCCTGGAGGGCCAATGCGCTGCAGAGTTTAGCTCCAACCCTGATCAAACTCAGCTACCTGTGATTTTCTAATGATCCTGAAGACATTGATTAGCATGCTCAGGTGTGTTTGATTAGGGTTAGAGCTAAACTCTGCAGGAAAGTGGATCTCGTGGGCCAGATTTGAGGATCCCTGCTGTAGACCATCTTAGACCAGCGCCAAACCTGGCAGCTTGTTTATGCTGGTTGTAACTGGAGTATAGACCATCTTGGACCATTAACTAGCTGTTCATAACATCTTAAAGAGGTTAAGCTGTTTTAGAACATGGTAGATGGTTTCTTGCTGATCAAATGTGGTCATTAATTAAGGACCTACAACAAACCAATTACTAGTTGGTCATACTTGGTGGTCAGGTTGGTTTTTGATGCAACTGGTCAACCAGTTTGTAATGACCATCATAGACCAGCTAGAAACCAGATACCATTTTAAACTGGACATTCTAACAGGGTTCTGTGCTACAGACGCAATAAATTTAATATTAAATCCCCTTTTAAATAACACTAGTGGTATCTTTTCTTTTTGTTTTGGGTTTATAATACTAACCAGTTGAAGTATCACATTCCCCATCATATCTTCTCATTTCATGTTGGTGGAAGGTTGTTGGTGATGAAGTAGGGCTGGACGATATGGCCAAAATTTATATCACGATATATTTCTTAATTTCGGTCGATACGATATAATTCCGATATCGATATGAACACTATTAAAAAAGCCTCATAAAAACGGCCAAGAACGGCCACAACAGATGTCTGTACCTATGATGAAGTTTATCTTGGCGGTTCCTGTTTGAGTTCTCAGATACTTGATTCTGTCTTTGTATTTAAATTATGATTTCAGTTTAATGCGACAATCATCTTCCACTTTTTCCAGGTTTTAGGTGGAGGTGTCGTTGATGACAAACCAGGACCGAAGATGAGGAAGAGTTTTGATAATGGCTTTATTGCTGAAGTTATTATGCGGCTGCTGCTTTTAGGTGTTTTTCTGTAAGTTCACTTTCTGCTTGATCAAATAGACCAAGCTGAAATCTTCAGTTACATTCAGTTACATTTGTGGGTTTGACAAATCTAACCAGTAACCTCATTTTCATAACCTGTAATGCTAGTCTTTTGTTCAGTTTTATAGAGCTGTTGCCCAATAAAATGAGCGACAGGTTCTCTCGCAGCTGTGTGGGAAGATTTTCCAGTCTCTTGAGCTGTGCCTGTGTTTGTCTGTTTTGTGGAGATGAGGATTGTTCTCTCAGGCTGTTATTATGCTCTTGTAGCGTGACTGAGGAGCTTCCTCCATTCAGCCGTGAGATCCAGCCTGAGGAACTCTGGCTCTATAAGTTCCATCCCGTCAAAAAGGACCGTGTTCCTACCCGCTTCATGTTTGTAAGTGCTTACAACTCCTGTTCAGCCACGGAAATTCAGTTGAATATAAAATGCATGTGTGCACTGATGATGATGGGGAATCTCATTACTGTTTTTCTCTGATTAACTTTTTGAAACAGTCTATCGCCCTCTTCACTCCATTGCTGGTTATTTTCTTATTTGCCTTATTGAAAAAAGGAGGAAAGGGAGATATGAAAGAGGCATCTTTGGGTAAGATATGTGTGAAAATTGCACCTTACAGCAAAATATATAATTGTTTATATACAGAGTTCTGGCATGAAACTCTAGATGGCGCAGTCCGATAGGTCTAGCACAATCTGACCTGGAGACATCATTGTCACATGGCAGCTGATTGGTTCACTCCTGTATCGGTAGCCAATGAGCTCGCTGCTCAATATTCAAATACCTGGCTTTTGTTTGCCGTAGCAGTTTGCAGCGCACTTCAGAGCAGCCTAAATCAACATCTAAGATAAGTGCCAGTTTAGAGCTTGTAATCGCTCTGAGGACACATTAA